ATTATGAAATCATGAGAAATAAAAGAAAATAGAGTAATAAACATAGAAAATAAACAAATACAAAAAGAAAATATAAACAAGATAATAATATTTTTGAGTGTTTGATTAAATTGCAAGTTAAAAGACTTACTGATTATATTAAGAGCACAAAAAATAGTACAAGCAACAGCCAAAAGTCTAAACACCAAGAGAATAATAATAGCTCAAGTATTATATATAAACAATATATGTATTATATCAAAATTGCTATATATTACAAACAATAAAGTTAACAAAGCCAGTAATAGATAAAATACAAAGCCTCTTATTGAAAATAGCAAAAATAAGCTAGAAATAGTATATATAACAGAAAATAGTATAATGCTATATAAAAATCTAGAAAACTGTAATTCATTATAAAATTAACTTATTATTAAACAAATTACAAGTCTTTATATATAGTTAAATGCAAGTGGCACAAAAGAATTGCTCACAAGAATACATATAAATCAAAAACTTTTGTTAATAGAAGCAACAAAGAATACATAATATAATAACTTTTCTAAGCTTTGCAATAAGATTTAAAAAAATAATTTAACATGTTATACAATACTAAAAGTCAAAGAAATGCAAGTCATATTAAATTTTAGTAACCTAAATCTATGCTTAAATAGAAAAAAATAAGATTGCAGATTTGCTAAGAGATAACTTTACAAAAAAGATAGCACTAGCATTAGAAAACTTGAAGTTAATATATATAAAACAGCTAATCAACAAGTTAGATAATCAAATAATATCATAGTAACAGCTTAAGTTTTTATAAGAACAGTCATACAAAGGCAGACAAGCAAAATGGTTTGATAGAATAAAAAAAAAATAATATAAAACAAATAAAATAGAAGGATAGAAACTAATTGACAATCTTAAAAACTAAATAAACATATACTAGAAGTTTAACTAGAAACAATCATGAAAGATAGAAGGAAAAAAAAATTAAATTTAAACCCAAAAGTTAAAAAAATTATTGTAAGTATACAAAAAAAGAATTGACTAAATATTGAAAACTAGACACAAAATTAGAAATGTCAAAGCTTGCTCTAAACAGATGTAAAGAATGCAGTCTAGATTAAAAGATAAAAAAAAAAACCTGTATAAGATAGAAAAACAAAAATAAAATTCAAGATTCAATATTAAAATTTATAAGAAAACAAAAAAATCCAATCTTAGAATTAAATTATAAAATGTTTGTACAATTATATAAAAAAGAAGAAATAAAACTAGAAGCAAATAAATGAAAAGCAGAATATATACAATAACTAACAAAAGTAATGCATAATTTTTGATTAAAAAATAAAATTTTTATTTATTTAATTTTAGCTATATATACATTAAATTTTTTTATATATATTTATTTAATACTTTACTAAGTACCTTTTTATACTTGTAATAGTATTGATTTTTTATGTCATTAAGTTTGCAACTATATAAAAAACTGACATATTCAAATTTGATCATGCTTTCTGTAAGGCTGTTTTAAGGTCAATTTTATTTTGTAGAAAGTCATCATAGTTCTGAATATTGTCCTTTACAATCTTCTAAATATTTTCTATAAGATTAAGATCAGAAGATTATAAAGACTAATTCATATAATCAATATTTTTCAAATTTAGTCAATCTGACACCTTATGAATCAGAGTATTGTTATGCTAAAAAATTAGATAAAAGATGTTTAACAAATAAACTACAACTATAAACAGTATAAGATGATTATTTAACACCTTGATATAAATGTTTTTATTAATTTTTTGCTTAGAACCTTTGTAATTATTAAAAAATACTATACAACCTTTGATGTTATTAACATAACATAACCAAACTATTACTAAGATCCTTCTATTTTTAAAATTTGGTTGCAAATACTTATATTTATATCTCTTATTTATACAATACTATACACAAACTTAATGGAATTGTTTATTTACTTCTATAATTATTTTATTCAAAAAAATAATATGTTTCTAATAATAAGCATCTTTATTTTTATTTTAATCACACTATTTTATATATTTTCTATATTGCTATTTGACAAAAAAGATTTCAAAACAATAATATGAAAATGAAGTTCAACATTGTGCAAGGTTCTAGCTACAGTCTGTATATTGCATTAAAGATTTAAATTTTTTATAATTTTATGCAGTAATATATGTCTTTCTTTTAATATTTTTTTTATTATAACAGTCTTCTCTTGCTTCTTTAAGGTAAAAAGATATCCAAACTAAAATAAATTCTAAATTTTTTTGGTCTTTTTGTATTTTTATAAAACTTTCAAACTGTTGTTAAGTTATACTTAATCTTGTAAGCAACTTGTTTAGCACTTATTGTACTAATATAAGCAAAATCATTTTTTTCTCTTTTTCTGTTATTTGTTTATATGACATTTTTATTAAAAAAAAATTCTTTGATATGTGCTTGATTTTTTTAATATCAATAAAGCAAAAACTAAAAAAAATTACCACAAAATTCATAAAAATAGAGTATACACAGCTCTTTTATTTGCTTATATATAATAATTTGCAAATTAAGCATTAGTTTTGTTAGTTATTATACAATGCATAGACTTAGAAACAGAATTATACAGAAACAGCCAATAAGCTAAACAATAAAAATAGAGCTTATTCAAAAAAAAAGAAATAAATCTAGCAAGATCAGAAAATACTCTTATATTTTATATAAATAGATTATTAAAAAAAGATTTAAAGAAAATAAACCCAAGTTTTGATTCTATAGAGACAAACTAGATACAGATAGATGCAAAAAAAGAAAAGATACTTGATAAAAATTATTTTGAAATATATAACTAGTCTTTATCAATAAGATCTGAGCTTTTGATAATTTGATATATGCTATTTACTGTACCAAATAGAAGAAAATTAAAATAGTTATAGACAATGCAACAGCTATTATAAATATAAAAAATAAATATAATTATTTATTATTCAAACAATGTTTAAAAAGAAAAAATTACAATTTGTTAGAAAATATTAGAAATAATATAAAATCAAAAAAAACTTAGATTAGAGTTAGTTAAAGTCAAAGAGCATAGTGATAATAAATAAAATATTAGAACAGATAAACTAGTAAAAGAAAGATTTAAATTAGACAATATAGATAGAATAGTTAAAGAAACTTTATAAAAAACTAGTATTAATCTTTGTTAGAAAAAAATATAATAAAAGATCTTACAAACTAAATTTTAAAAAAAGTGTTAAATATTAAAATAAGTATAAAATGAAACTTTATATCAGTAATTAAAAAACTAAAATTAGATAAGAACAGTAGAGTATACAACTAATTATACTTTTAAAAAAGAATAAAAAACCAAGGTGAAAGCAAATATACAAGTATAAAAAAGAACAAATAAATTGAAATTTTAATAAAATGTATAAATAAAAAGTTATCAGTAACCAAAGCACTAGTATAACATTGTCCTAATTTTATAAGAATGCATATTGTATTTTTTGTAAAAAAAACAAAGAAAAGATTAAGATCATTTAATAACATGTAAATACTATAAAAATATATAAAGAAATATAAAAAATATATTGGTTAGCTTAGTATAAATAAAGTTTCAAATAAAGTCAAAATAGAAACAAGTAAAGATCAACTTAAAAAGATATTTTAAAGTATATAAATAGAAGAAAAAATTAAAACAAGACAAAGAATAATCAAAGTTCTAGTACAAAAAAAGACAATAAGACATTTGCAAAAGATTTTATAATTTTTTTAAAAAATAAAAGAGTTTAGTGCTATAACAATTAATATATCTTGAAATTATTTTTTTTATAAAGATATATAAAAAAAATGATAAAAACTTTATTTAATAGAAAAAAAAATTTTTAAAAAAAGACTAAGTAAAAAAAATAGGAAAAAAGCTAATTAAGAAGAATAGCAAGTTTATTAGAATAGAAAGAAGTCAAGCTATAGAGAAAAAGAAAAAAAGAATAAAGTTGAAAAATAAGAAATATATAAAAGCATAGTTTGACTTGATTACAAAATTTATAGATAATAAAAAATAACTATTTATATATAACTCTTTTGATTAGTTTAATATAATTTCTGGATCTAAGTATATTCTCAACTGGTATGACAGACTGTCTTTGAGTACTCAAAAAAGTAGTAAAGAATATCAAACTAGAAATTTTAAATTAAAATATATATAATTTATATACAAGAATTTTAATAAAGTTTTATAACAAAATTGTCAAAGAAAAAAATAAAAAATAAAAATTTAGTACTATTAGTTAAATAATTTAAAATAATTATAAAATTAAATTTTTTATATTTAGTTATATGAATTTTAACTGTATAAGCATTAGTTTTTTAAATATATAATTACTAGTATTACAGTAAGAACTAGTATTTAGTATATCTGATATGTAGAGTTAACTTGAAACTCTATAATAATAGTCAATTGATCATATTAGTAAAAAAAAAACTTTTTTATAAATATACTTAATTTAAAAAAAGATATTAAACATTTGTTGAGTATTGTGTTTATATGATTATAAAATAATTATAATAGTGATCAGAATTGAAAATCATATGCATAATAGAAAAATGGTATAATTAATTAATTATGTAAAGATTAGTAATGCATTTAAGTACAATAGTAATTAATTTGTATAAAGTTTATAAGTAGTTAATTTAAAAACCAAAATGACATGACCCAATTATGATATAATAAATATTAACCAAAAAGGTATTTATAAGCAAAACAAAAAATAAAGAATTAATTAGTGATTTTTATTTTAAAATATGCTGTTAGAAATAAAATAAGCAAAATAAATACCTTGGATTAATATCAAAAGAGTGATAGAAGTAGTTTCAATATAGTACTTGCTGCAAAAGCTAGGTTGTTTAGTAACCTGAGTTACTAATTAATTTGCAACACTAGGCATATCAAATACTAGTAACATTTCATTTATATTTTTAATAAGAGAAAGTAAATAATTATAAAACATTTAATAATACAACACATTATTTAAAAATGCATCTTTTAAAGATTTTAGATCCTCTAGCAGTTTTTGTGCTACAGTAATATAATGTCTATTGCTTAAATTATTTCAATGCATGAAACTTTCTATTATCTATTACTCCATTTATACTCATTAATTGCAAGGTAAAGTGAAGTAAAATGAGGTTGTCTTGCAAGTTGTTTTGCTTTGGTTTTAACCATATTTTGGAATATAATTTTTTGTTTTAAATATAAAGATTTAATCTCAAAGTATGTAATAATTGCTAATTTTTCTCACATGTTTCAACTTCTTTTTTTTTTTTATTGGTAACTTTTGCTTGTTTCGGAGTTTTTTTATAATGTCCTATTTTACTTAAATATATATATCAAATATATAGTTTATAATTATAAAGTCTAAAAAAAATTCGGAATGATTCCGAACCGGGGATTTGGAAGGACTGAATCGACCAGGACGGCCTTCAAATTTGTGGGTCATGTGAGAAAAATGTCACTAGCCCATAAATATATGAAAAAATGTAACATAACTCAAGATTATATTGGGAAAATTAACAATCACACATACGTACTCTCATGCAACTGCGGCAATGACTATTTGTGATTGATTCGACCATTCAGTATGAGATGTTACATAATCAAAGTGGAACAATTCCATTAAAACATTTAAAGAAATGAATTTTTTTTTATTGTTAAAGTTTATTTACGTACCAGTATAATACGTATAATATTTATAAAGTTTAGATACTAACTAATAAAAGTCACAATAAAAAGATAAAATGTGTGGTCAAATCAAGGGAAATCTGTTATTCGTCTAAAAAATCGCATGGTTGAACAGGAAATTTTAACAAAGAATTATGAACGGTTACATTAATGTAGGGACAGTTTCAGAAAGGACTATTATTCGTCTGAAAATTCGCATGGTTAAACATGACCATTTTTAACAAAGAATTATCGTTATACATATACAGTATATTAATGTAGGAACTATTCTGAAACAAAAAGCATTTGAGTTTTAAAAACATACATATGGTATGGTAATATTTATGGATAATCTACATCGGCGTAAGAAAATGGTTACATAAGTATGTACGTACTTATGCGTTCTATGTAGTTGAGAAAGTGGCTATTTAGCATTTAAAAGATTTAAAAAAATCTTTAAATACAGTATAAATAATATATGATAATAAATACACTTATCCATATCGATATCGGATATGGAAAAAGGATACGTACGTACGTACGTAAGTTTTTGGACGAATGAAATGTAGCAGGTGAATCTTACTATAATTATGTAATATATATATATGATGAAATATATGATATATTTTTAGAAACAAATACTTAAAAATAGATGCACAAAAGAAATTATTTTAGGACCAATGTGAGTTCATAAACAGGTAGTTGCGGTAGTTAAAGTTTAGTTGAAGAGGTGTAAATACTACAATGGATATATTTTTACTCGAGCATGTTACATTAAAACGAATGGGAATATTTACAGTAGTATTTACAGTAGTAATAAAGAAAATTTTACATACTATAATTAAATAAAGTAAATAGCATTTATTATTGAATAATTTGATATCAGATATCAAAGAGGTAATTATGTACGTACCTACGTAAGTAAGTGTACGTAGGTACGTATTTAGATACATACAAACATGAAAGCGCAATAATTACAAAATGCAATAATGATCGTTTATACAGTAATAATATAAATACAAAAAACACGTGTCAAATTAAAAATAAAGCCATACAATGTTTTACAACGATCCTAAGCGTAGCGGCACCGCGTGAAAGGACTAATACCGTAACTATATAAAATTAAATTCTAATTACATATCTGATATCTGATATCAGATATCAGATATATACGTACATACATACGTACATACCTGATACATACATACGTATGTACTTAACCGTTTGGTGCACATTTCGTGATTTAGTAATCAAGCTTTGTAAATTCATGAAAAAATTCATAAAATTACGTATTTGACAATTGATTTTAACGATAAACGTTTTGTGTAAATGAGCAAATATCACAACATTAAGCCATGCCAAGAAATATTTCTAAATATTCACATTACGTAGACTTACGGTTCTATATTCGTTTACATTTTCGGTAATTCTTATAGAATTATGATATGCTGTACGAAGATTATTAACTAATTGATTACAAAGATACTGGGACTAAAGATAGAACTTGTACGTATTATGTTTACATATATACAATATATCATGTATTACAAGGTTCGTAACTAATTAATCCCTATTGTGCATCCTTAATCAAAGAGAGGTAAATTTTAGAACTAGTGAATTAATTAATTAAATTAAATTAAATTAAGGAATCAAACACATGGTTTAAACAGGTGTCTATCATTCAGATGTCAAAAAAAAAACCCTTAAAAGAATACGTAAAAGGAAATTTCCTAGCAAAGCCTTATTCCGAAAGTTCCTTTATAGAACTTTTTCATAGAATTTCTTAGTTTTTTTTCTTTTATAATAAGAAAAAATATTCGGGGAAATGTTTTCACTGAGTTTATGCTAGCTAAAATTAGTATACATTTCACACATCTTTACCTTTGATCACACTAATAAAAATTTCCATTAACACTTTGAGTATCCTATTTTTTTTTATTTCAAGGCTAATAAAAATTTTATGTAATAATAATATAATATATTCAAGATTATAATTCTTAATATGCATTTAAATTTAGGCCGAATATTAGAAGAATTAGAGATTTTTATCGGAAAAATGAATTATTCGTTCAAAATATTTATTAAAATTTGTTCTAACATTTTGTTATAACGTTTTGTACCATGTGACATCCAATTGAAAGTACTTCATTGTTCACTCAAGAAAAAAAATATATTATCTAGTATAATTGATGAACATGAAGCAGCCGATAATAGAAAATGTTTTAATTTATTTGTTTATACGTATACATTAAATAGATATCATATACATGTACATAGTATAAATAAATATATATCGATATACTGTATATATATATATATATACTGTATATATATGTATATCTATTTATTTATATTATTATATATTTGTTGATAATGATGAATTCTTGTTTTATTGGTTCTTTGAATTTGTTCGGTTTTATTTTTTCTATCTTGTTCATATAGAAACACAAAGCGTAAAAGTTTGACAGTAATTTTTAAATTAAAATGTAATTTAAATGTAATTTGTAATTGAATGTATAATATCATAATTAGTCATAAAACTTAAGTACATAATTAAATAAATTGAGTTATGTGAATAATATGTTTACGATTAAAAAGACCGAACGTCTACGATAAGAGAATGCGTTGTAATTTTTTTTTTTTAAAAAAACCCCGAAATGTCTTGTGGTAAAAACGATCGAATGCGTTTGTGATCAAAAAAAGATTGAATGCGTTTGTGATCAAAAAAAGATTGAATGCGTTTGTAATTAAAAAAAGATTGAATTTCGATAGCCAAAAGTTCGTTCGTTCGTTCGTTCGCGCCCTATAATAGATAATAGCACCTTGCAATAAACAGCCTGCTCTAATTCTTCAACTCAACAGAACTCAACTCAATAGGAAATTACTGGATCAACCAGATAACCAGTTAGTTAATTTTGCTTGAGCTCGGTAAACTCAAACTTTAAATAGGATGGGTACGGCTTCTTAAATGGCCTTGATAAAAATTAGCCTGGTGAAACCGATGAAAATTGTCCTGGTGAAAACGATTTCTTGTAGCATTATATCGATTTACGTTAAGAGCAAGATTTTTATATATATCTCTTTGATTGCGATTTTCACGGTGTTGAAGTAGGGATAAAAAATATGTTGTAGCCATTCGAATAGCTTCTCTATCATTAATATGAGCCTCATTACGTGCAATATGGTCAACAGTTATTGAGATCATTGCCCGATCATTTGTAGTTTTCGACGTATCAGGCATCAAACGAACAATATCTTCGATATTATTAAATACGGGTATATTGGGGAAATTTGGATGAGTTCCCGTGAAGTAATCAATAATTTGTTTATGACTCATATTCGCGTTGCTTCGATTCAGAGATATAAAAATCTTGAGTGAGTTTTGAGTTGAGTTAAAGTTAATTCAACAACTTATATTTATACCATTTTTTGATGCATTTCATGCGCATCTTTTTAATGCAAAACATTAGCCATGCTCGGTATACTAATTAAGGTAACACAATATAAACAATTAATATACGTACGTATAAATTTTTCCGTATACGCATTCATATACGTAACTAAACTATATAAATATCTAGCATTAATGAACCAATTAATATAATTAGTCTTCATGTCCTAAGTAAGCATTAATAAATGTTATCATTTTATCATTTTATGGTTTTTTTTTTTTTTTTAAAAAAAAAAAATAAATAGATTATTCCATTTGAGGGAATAGTCACAAATTATATAAGTACGAAAAAAACTTTAACATAAATGTCACACATATAAAGTGTATATAAATGGCGACAAATTCGTATAACAAAGTGAAAGGATTATCCGGACAAAAATTTTTCCAGATCATAGAAAAAGTTTAAGGAAAAATACTACCGAAAAAAATTGCGTATCTATACTTAATTCCTGCTTTTTTTTTTTTCTTTTCTATTTAAGTAACAAACAAACGATCCTCAAGCACGTTTCAATTTTTGTTAAAATAAATAAAATATGATTTATCAACTTACAATAATTCAGTAATTGTGGGACAAGCTATTATTTTTACCTAATAATCTATATATAAATAGATATTTATATATATTCGTGTTAGCTTATTGGTTCAATGTAGTAATTTACGAATATCGATTTTATCGTTAGGCGCTAATGCCTTCTATGAATTACTACCTACGTACAAGTACGTAGGTATGTACAAGTGTGTATCTTTAAAAATACCTATATTTATAATGTATAACACATGTGTAAGTATATTGTTTATTTATCAAAAAGAAAATGTCAACTGTCAAAATGATCTAAAGATTTTGATGTATAAAAAAAGTTAATTGTTCCATATTACACAATTTTACTTTTGTACTCATAAATGTATCGGTATATCTATTATATATATATACATACTAGAATTATGGAGTTAAAACTCCGGCTAGCGATTATTAGTGTAACCTCGGCTTTAAAACACCGTCAAATTTCTACGTATAATTTTTGATTAATCTCTGTTGTACGTGGCGTAGAAACTAGCCAATCCTTCGAATGCAATTCGAATGTAATTTCGAATGTAATTTCGAATGTAATTTCGAATGTAATTTCGAATGTAATTTCGTCATTTGATTTTTGTTTAAAGCTATCAAAAATATTTCTCAAACTTAATAATCCTGATATATTTAAATACTTCTAATAAATACTTCTAATAAAGTCTATAATTTCTACGTTATATCTTTCTTACAAAGTTTTAAAGTTTAATAGTTTCTAGCATTAAATCTAAAACATCTCTCTTACTAAATTTCATTGTTACGTAGTACGTAGATGGCCCCCAAAGTTTGAATGATCAACGCCACTACTGCATCAGCCGCACAAATGACTTATTCAATATCGGCCGAGGAACTTTTTTGGTTGACTTGTTACACGAGCGTTGACTCATCATTTAAAGTAACACGCATCACCTACTACGTACATACATAAAAGAATTATTTCTAGCACTAGTACATATACGAAATAAAAAGATGATTAAAAATAGTTAAATTACTTCTACTAGTCCGTTGAGATGATGATGTTGAGAATCGATTGATAATTAAAATAGTAATTTCTACGTATGAATGAATTCGAAATAGTAATTTGTATTAATGAATTTTGTCTTATAATTAGAATACTAGAATACATAACCAACTTTTTTTTCTTTCTTTTTCATATATTTTATTAATCATAAAAAAATACATAAAATATATATATACGTATATTTTTTTTTTAACCAAATATATATTTAAAAAAAAAATTAGTTTCAGTCCGACATTAATAATTTTTACAAATTATTAATTACCTTAAAGGATTTTATAATTTCCCGCCATATCAATATATCGCTATCTCTGGGTCTATATCAAAATTCAGAAGGTCAAAATCCCGAAGGCCAAAATCCCGAAGGCCAAAATCCCGAAGACCAAAATCCCGAAACTTTATTACTAATCATACAACGCGACAATTAGGTTTCAGGATTTTGACATGGCGATAGGACCCGAGAACATCACTATGGCGATAACTTATAACGACCCTAGCGTCACCCGCAAAAAATGGTAGCCGGACAGATCTGCCGGGTACATGTTATTATGTGATTCGGCTTTGATTATGGACAATTCAATTTCGATCACTAATCAGAAAATGTCCTTAGCGTATTTATGAATTGTTATCAAACAATAAATATGGTCTCCAAGTTTTTCATAAGAATTTTTTTAATGAATAACATGAATCGCTTAAAATTTTATTGTTTATACGTTTTCTTTTGGTTATATTTGTAGGCAAATTCAATTTTTTTACAAGCATTTGTTTTTTATTTCTATTTTGGACCAATAAGTTAATAATTTCAAAAGATGTGCTTCATTTAGTACTATAAAAAGCGTTTATGAGACTAGTCCAATGATCCAAAGGTTATAATAGATGGTAATTTATTTAAATTACCAAAAATATTCATGTTAAAAAATAAACTATTATATTTATTTCATTATTACTATCGTTCTAAAAATATTTGAACTTTAGATAATTTTTTTTGCAAGATAAAATTTTATAATTGTCATGCCAGTTTGTTCTTGAACATGATAATTTAAATTGGTTTCGCATTGTAAAATTTTTTTACTTTGATTTCTTTTTTATTCAAAAAATCTTCATTATTTGAATAGTATGTTAATCTGACATAGTAAAAGAACTTATCGTTATAAAAAAATTTTTGTTGATTTAAATGTGCTAATAATCAAAGAAAAAAAATTCAAATAAATATAAAGTAGTATAAAACTATAAGCAAAATCTATAAAAATTTTAAGCAATAACAGCACAGCAGTAACAATGATAGAAAAAAAAAAATTTTATTCGTTATTGTATAGTAATGATAATAATGAATTTTACAAGTACACAGACTTTTTTTGATTTGTAATCAATATTGCTAATAATCAAATCTGAATTACATAATAACATGTACCCGGCAGATCTGTTCGGCTACCATTTTTTGAGGGCGATGCTAGGGTCATTCGCGCACATTGCCCATCACTACTGCTATGTTATTGTTCAAATACTGATTTCAACTCTAAATTACTTGTTTCATAAGAAGTTACAGCCATGTAATCACTAATTAACAATTGATTCAGTGTTTTTTATATAGTACTTATCTATCAAGCTTTACGTAAATATAAATACAATAAGATTATTGTTAAAAAAAGAAAAAACCCAATGTTTATACAATCAGTTAAATATTTAAATCGAACAAACCCATGCCACTATTTTCGATTCTGCAAGTTCTCCAACTCTGTGAGCTTTCTTTGTGCATCATTTGAACCTTTGTCAGCAGCAATTTTTAAAAATTGCTTGTATTTATCATTGTTATATTCATATCCATGTTCTTCATTCAAAAAGAACTGAGAAATCATGTATAGAGCATCAGGATCCTTTTGTTTTACAGCCATTTCAAGATATCGTCAGTCTGTTTCCGCTCATAATAGGTTCCCTTGAGACAGGCGTAAGCATACATGTATTGGCCCTGTACATTGCCTTTGTCAGCAGATCTTTGAAATGATTGTAAAGCTCGAATTTCATCTTTTTTGATGCCTTCAAAAGTACCTTTATAGAGATAAAGTCTTGCATAATATGAAGCTAAAGCAGACAATAAGAAGTCATCTTTTTGCACAATTTGTTCGAATTAAAAAAATGCTTCTTTGTATCGCTTTTGTTCATGGAGAGATATTGCTTGGTCAATACTAAATAAGTAAGGCAATGGCACATTTTCTGAGCCATCGAATACAGATGATTTGGTAAATACAAGTGAAGAAAGAGAAAAAAGTTGCTCTTTTATGAAGTCAATTTTTGGGCATTTCTTGTGATCTTCATATTATGCCAACTTTACTAGTATTTTATATTGTTCTGATGTGTCTTCTGAAAATGGACTTGGGTGTTTCCCACTTGTAACTTTTTCACTTGCTTTCATATAACTGATATTACCAAGTGGAATTTTATATGAAGAGATTTCCCAAAGAAGAATTGCAAAACTAAAATAGTAATAAAATTTATTTAGTATTTAAGCACAGAATGTTCATTTTAATTTATTAAATTATACCTGTACACTTCACATTTGTCAGTGTATAGCTGCTCTGTTTGTTTAAGTTTTTCTGGCGCAGTCCATCTAAATAAAGTAAAACATTAATGAATCAATAAAAAAATCAAAATTTGTACAGAAAGGCAATGCAATCTTAAAGATTCTAAATCCTTTATCTTTATTGATTCATCTTCGAACTTTCGACTCATTTCAAAATTAGTAAGCTTTGCATTTAAATTTTTATTGAGCAATATATTTTTACTGAAATAGAGAGAATTTTGTTATAAATAAAACTTTAAAATAAAAAACAAAATTAATACAATGTACCTTCTAACATCATGATGAAATATGTTATAACTATTACAATAACTAAGACCTGTAGCAATTTGTTCTGCAATTTTAAGTTTAGTTGTCCATGGAATTGATTTTTCTTTTGTTAAATATTCTTGTAAGTTTCTATTTTGCATTCATTCAGTAATCACAAAAAAATAATTTATTCTGTAGTCTTCTTTATTATAGATACCATAGCTACAATATGTCAACTTATTATGATCAACAGTCAGATAAATAAAAACTAGCATAATGATTACTTACAATTTTTCAATATTTTTACAGACACTAATAAGCTTGATAATTTTCGCTTCTTTAACAATTTGTTCTAGTTTTATATTAGGCATTTTTCTACTGCAACTTCCTTATTTATGAATAACCTTTTTTGGATATTATTTCTTATAGCTTTTTTATTATCTTCACAATCAATTACAGAGCTCAGATTAATTTTTAACTCATTAATTTCTTTATTTGTTGGACTACTGCCTTTCAGTATAAGCATAATATTATGCGTAACATTATCATTTAATTTATGAATTTGGATATAAATATCAAGTATCATGCTATTATAGAAGTTCTTAGTAGCAGTGTCCAATTTTTGGAGCAGTTTGTCAATTCCTGCTTTAACCTTGAATAAAAAATTTAAATTTATTTGTTTTTAATATTAAATAAAATATCTAAGTTAGTAATATTTGTATAAAAGGATTCTACATTATCTGCATCGAATAGTTCCTTAATCCATTTTATAATTCTTTTGGCAAAAGGCCCAGGTTTATCAATTTTAATTAAATATTCCTTTATTTCAATTAATACTTTCTCATAGTCCTTTTTTAATTTCTCATTAGCATCTCTGGCTCGATACTTGACAATAAGACTTAAACTTTTTTGCACATGGCTAGAAATATATTTGCATGCCTCCTTATAATGCTGAGCATTTTCCACTCTGTCTATAATCTCCTATGCTATGTTAGCTGCAGTATTTCTGATTATTAGTATAAAATGAATTGCTTCAACAAAAACAAATTTAGCGATATCCATTAAATAATTATGCTAAAATTCTGTACTATTTATATAAATTGTGCAGATAGTTTGATACTTACATAAAAAGTCATCTATATACACTATATGTATGTATATATAACATATGTACAGTGTAGAAAATTTAAAGGTAGGAGGTAGAAAAGAGATAGATCTGTTTTTTAGCTAAAAAATTTTTATTGTCTATCAAATAAAGTATACTGTACTGTACAACATATTTTATCATGCAAATTACTTTTTAAACAATAAACCCAACTACTGTACATAAGTTTAAACTTATTTTATTCTCCAACAGTGTCAGAGAATGAACTGAGTTTAAGATGTGCTAACTTTTTAATGAATTGTATTATTTTGGCTTATGATATAATGAATCCAACCCATTATAAACCCTAATTTTTAGATTAAGTAAAACATGAATGCATAAAGGAACTATAAAATCAATTTTTTTAAGTGTTTGCATGAATTAAGAATATCATTTTCTTTTTATTTTATTTTATTTTATTTTTGAGTTGTATTCTTGCCAATCCAGTAGCATAACATAAAAAAACAATTGAAAGTAATTCTGATAAAGGACGGAAAAGAATAAAAACCAAAAATAAAAAACAACATATATTTACAAAAAAAAGTGAATATGAAAACTGTTAATTATAAAAAAAAAAAACAATAGTCATAGAAATGAACAATTATAAATAATAAAAAAACAAAAGGATGGCTAATTCTGAAAAGGCCTATGAATTGCTCATAATCTGGCTGCATATATTAAATCAAAAGTTTGCTTTTATCTATCAAATGCATTCATCCTATTAAGAATTAAAATAAAATAAATAAATAAATTGAATAGATATTAATGACACATTCTAGTTAACACAATAATATCCATTCTAGTTAACAAAATAATATTTTTATCTTTTTTTCTTTTCCAATTTTTCACTCAAATGCATACAAGTTTGAGTCAAATGATTGAATTCATCAAGAAGAAAAGACATTTTTCTTGACTGATTTTTAAGATGCAAGACAGCTTTATACAAAAAATTGATAATAATCATTTTTGAATTACTTTTATTGCTAAATATAAATATAGAAATTATGATTATCTTTCTGAAGTAATTCGGCTTTACTCATCTTGCATTTATATAAGTGATCAGGAGCTGTCTATGAAGTTCTTCAAAACTGTTATTGATTTCTGCACATCATTTATGTTCTGATTGAATATGCATTTGATGTCTAAACTCAGCATATGACATTATATTGTGATCAAAATAAAATCAATTAAGTGTTTTCCTTTTTGTTGTAAAATAATACAATGTTTTAGAGTATTGCATATATCTGCTTGTATTATCAGTATCATCTTCATCTAAGGAGTAATTCACAAATGGCTCATTACATGATACCTTTCTCCACCAGCCATATACCATTTTTTGACTTTCATATTTTTCTTTGCTATATTGAAAAAATTCAGAAATGTCCAATTTATTTACTGTCAAATAGTAGTGATTTTCAAGTGTAGAAAGTGATAAAAGTGATTGAAAAATTTGTATTGCTTAGGATGCTTGTGTGTTGTCAAAAGAAAACATATTTAAAGGCACATTTGGCATTTCTAAAGAAAAGGATGATAGGATAGTTAAAGGTGTACCTAATGGTGAAATGTATAAATTTCAAAAGGTAAAAAATAAATTAGCTTTGTCTTTAAAAAAAAGTGTTGTAATAATAATAATTTGAACTGAAAGTATGCGAATAAACTTTATAAAAATTTATTATCCACTTTCTTTATTATTTTTCTTTGGTTCTTATAAATATCTGCTGCATAAACTATAGTAGTCGAGCATATTTTTTTTTCCGACAAAAATAAATAAATAGATGAATATTTTATCTGAGCTTAAATCCATGAGATATTGAAAGATTTCTTCAGATGGAAATTCAAAACTTGATGGAAATTGTATGTTCTCAAGATACTTGGTATTAAAGAAAAGATTTTTGTATTGTAATGAGTGATAATTAAAAAAAGTAAAGAGTGTTTTGTTTGTTCTTTCTTGCCATGAAGGAACGATTCAAATTTATTTAATTTTATAATTTTTTTTATATAATAGATAGTTTTTGTACAATTATCAATATAAACATATACCAAGACCTGTCTTAAAAATTTTCAAAAAGTAATAAATAACATAGTTCAAATAACTTTCTGCAAAATCTGTTTATTCAAGGTAAAAAAATATCTTGTTTTAATTATTATAACTATAAAACAAGTTTAAAAATATGCAAAAATATGTAATATAAGGTATAGTATCTGAATAAACTAAAAGCTAATACAATTATAACTGGGATTTTATTTTTTATATAGAGAAAAAAACAGGTCGTGATTTTAGAAAATGTACCTATTGAATATTATGTGATTTTAGCATGTTTAACTCTATTGTTCATAAATTGGATCATATCGTCAAAATTTTTTGAATGATCAATGTTAAAAAGACTGACCAGGTGGTCAGAATTTATATTGTACCACATTTTTTAATGTACTACTACTAGCTAGTTAAACTAGCTGACTCAATTGAATAGATCATGTTTTTAACCAGGTGGTTAAACTACTTAACATCCATATTTATTTATAAATTAGCTTAATTATATTATAAATATTAAAATATATATGTCATACCTCAAACTAACACTTGCAACATATAATAACTGTTTTTCAAATTGGCATAAATATATTATAAATATGCATTAGCATATATATATAGTATTTTTAACCAGTATTAAACTCTTAGCATAAGACAATAAATTGATAAAAAAATGCTGTAAGATATGCATTGTGCTGTCTACATGCAGTTAATACTATTTATTTAAGAAATATGTTATAGATCTACAGGTTTACATTAACATTAATAAATATTATATTAAAAATTAGTTAACTGAATATTTATATGTATTGCTAATCTAACTTAATTAGTGAGTTGATTTTACTTGATTAGGAACCCAGCTAATATGGAAAGTAAACATGATTTGAGATTATTCGTACAAATTGACAGTCAAATTTATACAAACTGACAGTAAGTTTGTATAAATTTAACTATCAGTTTGTATGAATTTGACTGTCAGTTTGTACAAACTTGGTATGTTATACATAAAAATAACTGAATATAAAAACTTACTTATTATATTTTTTTCTTGATAGTGAAATAATATATATGTATTTAACTAATTTGATTGGTTAACTTCATGCTTACATGATTTAATTGGTCAGAAAATTCTTTGTAATTTATAAATCATGATTTAACCAATCATGAAAGATTATGAAAAGATCTAAAAGTTACAGGAACACTAAATTATGAATTACATTATTTTGCAATTGATTATAACTACAGTTTCTGTATAGAACTGTGTAAACTATAGTAATCATAGCAAGTGTCTTTTCAATAAAAATTAAAGAAAACAAATTAAGTTCAAATTCATAACAATTGGAAATTGAATATATAAACAGAAATTTTTAAAGCACAAATATTTGAACCATTGTATTTTTATAATTATTTACAACTCTGAATATTTTTTAGTTCAGATTTATGAATTCTCATGTAAACAATATAAATGTTATAAACCATATATTTTAAAAAGCAAAATTTAATATAAAAAGATAAAATAAAAAAAACTAATAAAAATTTTTATACTATATATTTTTTAGTATAATTGTGACCCCTAATTCTAACATTAAATTTTTTAAAAAACAGGTTTAAAAAATTTATAAGATCTGCAATATACTATGTATAGAATAACTGAACATAAAAAATCTTGCTTTATATTATGTTTTTCTCAATAGTAGAATGAGCATATATGCTATTAAAATTATTAATATATAATGCATAAACTTATCAGAGCAGCTTTGCCAAAATTTTAACTTTCTAACTTGTAAAATGACTACAAGTTATGATTCTAAATGTTATGTATGAAAACATTTATGCAAAGTTTATATGACTTTCAGAAGTCTTGTTTTCATATTTTATATTATTATTAGGGTATTATGTATTTTAAAATTATATAATATGTGTATTTGTATTTTTAAATCTACCACTATTGTTATAGCTGAACTTGTATTTTTTGCATTTTTAGATATTAGCATTTATTCCAGGATTTTTAATTGGACCTTAAATTGAATATATCTTTTTGTATTATAAAGACATAATAAATTTCTATAAAATGAGCTTCATAATTTTTTGTCCCTTGGCAGTACTACCACCATTATTATTCAACAATAAAACATTTGAGGGTCTTGCATTAGCTTTAAGAATTGCAATTTTGGTGTGGAGTTAGTATTCATTCATTAATGTTACTTGGGTTTTTCAGTTAGATTTTATTGGATTGTTTTATTTATAGGGTATATAGTCTATTTCTCACCAATATTTAAAATGTTAGACTTGTGTACTGAATTAATTATTTTTTTTATTTTTAGTTTTAATCAAAATTGAACTTAATATTTATCACTTTGCGCAGTCAAAATCTCGTGATTTTATTGGACATGCAACTTGGTTCATGTTTATTTTCTTTTGTACCTTTTTTGATCAGTTTTTTATTTGAATTACATTGGATGGTTTTGTTTATTAGGTATATTTCTCACCATCATATTTGCAGTTTTGACTTGAGTTTAATATTAATTATTTTTTATATTCTGTAGTCTTATTTGTTGGAAATTGTAATATTCATCATTTTGCGAAATTGGAATCTATAGTACATGCATTTTATGTGTTAATTTTTTTTTTCTATTGTTATTTATTATTAATATCAATTATTTTATTCTAAATTGATGTGTAGTTAACAAAATTTTGGATTTCTTATTAATTATAGAAATTCTGTACAGCAATATACAAAATGTATGGGAACTTAAATAAATTCTATAAAGAATTGGCAAATTAAGTTTGTAGTATCATCAATAGTGCTCATTTGTTTGTTTTGTTCTAAAGATTCTCAATTTTGATTGACTAAGATTGATGATCAAAAAGTCAGAGTTGATTTGG